CCCCAAAACCCCAAAACCCCAAAACCCCTTTAGACTTGATTACATTATGATGATTATCTTTGAATTTTAATATGAAAGTTAAGGATATCAGAATTTTATTATCATATCCTCACTATATCCTAGCTCTGTCAGATGATTCTTCATCATAAACTCGAAAGGAGGGGGACCACAAAAAAGAATGACAGTCTCTGGAGAAGGAGCTGGTAAATTCTAGCTAATCATTTCCTAGGTAACGAATCCAACTTTACCATCCCACGCACCCTCTGGCTTAATATCCACTGTATAGAGTACCTTTAATTTATCTTTGTTATTGTCTCTCAATTAATCTAGCTCCTCCTTTAATAGAATATCATCAACAGATCTGTTTCCGAAAATCAGACTCAATTGAGTTCCATCATCAGCGTTAAGAGCTGATTGAATGACCTAGTAGCAAGGAGTGATACCGGTGCCGCCCGCTACCATACCGATTCTAGTTCTTTTAAATTAGTTTTTCAAGATTTAAAAGTTTCCAAAGCCTTGATAAGAAAGTCTTCCCTTTGGTCCCTCCATTAGCATTTAAGCACCTGGTTCAAGAGTCTCAAGGTATTAAGTCAATATACCACCATCAGGGAATCTAGGGTGGACATCCTTACGATAGATCTTAATTACGAAGTCCACATAGCCAGTAGTTTACAAAGTACTAGTTGGTGTATATTTTCTGCAAACCAACTCACCTTCTGGCTTAGCTTTGGTTGGGATAGTTGCTGAGAAAACAACATGCTGACCTATGGGAAGGCCAAATGACCAATCTGGGTCTGAGAATGAGAATCTGAAGATAAAGGTATCTGAGGTGATCTTAATCTTCTTTGCAAGTTTAAGTGTAATATTGCCATCTTAATCCTTGCTCATTTTTTACAATGCTCCACCTTCCTTGGGAATTTGGAATTACTATACTTTTTTGACTCTTTCCTCAATTGCTTGCTTTTGCTTTCCAACGAAATATCTGAGAATAATAAATACAGCGAGCATAAGTCCAATATAGAGATTCTGTGTAGACAGAATACCTTGATCTTAAGCAGGTGTTGCAGAAGCGTCTGTTTGTGTCGTCATTTATGATTTACTATAATATACTTAATAATCCTTGCACATTTAAACTTATGTTACCTGGCGGGGTTTTGGGGTTTTGGGGTTTTGGGGTTTTGGGGTTTTGGGGTTTTGGGG